AACCTTGAACTCGGTATTATTATATTCCCACTTTGTAGATGATGAAATTGAGGCATGGAGAGGTTACATAAATGTTTCAAAGACATACAGCTAGTAAGTATTAGAGCTAAGAACCTAGATAGGCTGACTTTGGAGACTGCTTTTCCAACTATGATGCATTAGTACCTTCCCACAAAGGGCAGAGCCAGGTCTAAAGTCATCATAGTTGGGAGAAATAAAAAATTATCTGTATTAGATGCTGTAGTATCTGTTCAGGTCAGAGAGGTTCACCATGCTGCAGATGGGCCAGGAATAGTGCCCTGGGTGTACACTGTGGGGAGAAAATTCTCTAGAGTCTCTTCTGTTTCTACATTTCTTCATCATTTGGTTTAGGATTATTTTTTCAAGAATGTTTGCATATTGAACAACCTTCCAAGACAGAGTTAATATCTCCCTCTGGAACAGAGAAAAAGTTTGCTTATTGCAGAGTGTAATGAAGACAATGTCTCCATTTAGGGCAAAGTTGGGCACGTTGGCTTGCAGTCCACTGGGGATCTTCAGCTGTGATGGAACGTCCTGTTTGTGTAGTATTTAACACTGCCGCTCTGTTACCCCTTTGGGACTCGAAGGGCAAGAGAAATGGATATTAACATGACTCTCATATTTCTTGCTATGTTGAGGGTAATCAAATTGTTTATCTTTGGTCTAGGAGTCTCATGTCTTCTGCTAGCATCCACAAATCTGTGGCAGGTAAACTTTTTATCAGGGAAGCAAGGGAAGATCTCAGAACTTTCACAGTGCTTGACATTCACAGACACAACAGGTCATGAAGGCTGTTCTGAAGGTCAAGGCTGAACACACCTGGCTTGGCTTTGGGTCCTTTTTAATTATGGATGAATGAGGGCCAGAGGCCTATACTAAAGCTGGAGTGAGGCAAGTCTCTGCAGGAATCGTAGTTCTTGATTACATGACAAGCAGAAGGCTCTGTTTCTCTGAGGAGTTCTAAAACTGGCCACATGGAACTAAAGATGCACTGTTGATTCATTGGAATAATTTTTCATGAACCATAGCTGTAACACAAATATTAAATTCCAGTAATCTGGGCTGGGGATGTGGCTCAAGCGGTAGTGCGCTCGCCTGGCATGCGTGCGCCCTGGGTTCGATCCTCAGCACCACATACCAACAAAGATGTTGTGTCCGCCGAGAACTGAAAAATAAATATTAAAAAAAAAAAATTAAAAAAAAAATTCCAGTAATCTAATACAGCATAGTGGTCTTCAGACCTAACTGCTTATCAGAAACTCATGGTAATATTAAAACAACAATAAAACAGATTCTAGAGTACCATATCATATATGATGAACCTGAATCTCTGGGGGTGAGGCTGAGAAATCAGTATTTTACAAAGGTTTCTGAGATTATTTAGATGCAGTTAATCCTTGTACTGTTCTGATGTTAAGGATTGAATTCTACTGCAGACAAATTCTGCTCTTCTGTATCTAGATTTCTTTATATGTTACACAAGAACTATGCTATTCAATATGGTAGCAACTAGCCACATGTGTCTATTTAAAATAAAATCATTCAAAGGATAAGGCCCCAAATAAAATATGTGGAAAATGGCAGAGAAAATAATGGGAAATAGAAATGGAAATTATGAAGAATAGCAGTAATAAAGAGAGAAAAATAATTACAAGACCCGAAGCTCTCTGTTCTAGACTTATAAATTGTTAATATACCCTCAATTCTTATTTTAACATGTCTTTACATTTAAATATACTAAATGAAAATAAAATAAATACAAATCTAAATTTAAATTTAAAACTGAGTCCCCATTGCATTATTTTATGTCAAGTATTTACTAACTGCATATGGCCAGTGGTCATAGTATCAGATGCAGAGCATTCCCTTCATCTCAGAAAGTTCTGCTATATAGAGCTGCTCTATATAATATATAATATAACATCTTACAGTACTAGAAAGGAAGGATACTACCAAAGATTCAGGAGTCAACCCACATAAGCTTCCATTGGCCAAAGTAGGGATAATTTGAGCACTAATTGGAATAATAACTGCAATGGATTGATATACATTATTTAAATCTATGAGTTCATAATCATATTAAAATAAAATTTATTGGTGACTTAAAGGATACTAGAGAACCAAGTCATTATTTTGAAAATGGAAAATAAAGGGTTATTGACATCGAATCAATACTGTTCATCAAGGAAAGGCTGGATGAATGCTTAAGATAGTATTGAGATGCACAGAAGACTCATTATTAGTAGGTCCCAAGACTGAGCACCTGCTTCCCTTTGCCCAATTCAAGAACATATTCTTCTGTTGGCTTTTCTTCCTTCCTTCTTTCATTCCCCATATGCCACAACCTCTAGATAAGGCTGTGCTTTGGCTCGTGGTAGGAACTGGGGTTAGGACAGTATTCTACAATCTAACATCACCTGGCATATGGATTTGGCTGTTTGGTTCAGATTCTACTCCTGGTCCAGTCTCCTGGGCGGGCCTGACCTTTCCAGAGGTGCAGGTGGGACTTAAAGTCAAAGAGATGGAAAGGAGAGATAGTTGAGGAAAATTGAATATAAACCTGCATTCTAAGAAGATTTTCCAGGTAATTTGTAAGTTTAAAACTAAACAATTCCACTCCAGAGGAAGGGGTACTTATCTGGCTCAGGAACATTTTAAAAGAGAGATGAGATGTTAATTCCAAAGGTCAATGGGAAACCCATTTGGGTAAGGGGAACACACACACACAGTTACATGGGGAGTTGGAAGAGGAACAGTGAGATTGAATGCGGGTGAAAACACTTGAAATCCTTAATAGGAAAAATGGATAATATGCATCATATGGTGCAGAGTATAAAATGCATAATATGGTGCCAGGTATAATAACTAGTACATGGAGTGTGTACAGGGTGTACCTGGGTTATTATACTCTGCAGCACACACTTCAAATAATGTTTGAGTAGGAAGACAACACCCCAAATCAACAAAAATCTGCCTCCACATCATTGTGGACCCAGAGCAGGTTCTCATCAAAGTGACTGTTAAATACTGAATCCAAGGCATTCATTGGGGGCAGGGGGTGTGTTTGTGGGGGAGGCAGAATCAGCCTTGGCAGTCCACCATTTCCCTCTGTGTGCATTGGCCTTCTCCATACCTCTCCCCAAGCTTCTTTTATTGTTCCCCTTTAACTCACTACCCACCTCTCCTATGCAAAAATTCTCAGTTACAGCCATGATGCATTGGTAGATGTTTAATAACAGGCTCTCCAGAAAAAAATGTCAAGCTCTGATTTGTAGCGTTTGCCAATTCCCATTGTATAAGTACTCCCACCATGGCTGATTGTATTCTGCCACTGTGACGTTGCTGAACATTGAGCTGGGAGAAGGTCCAGGCTGGCTCCAGTTTATCATTGGAATGAGCTGGAGAAAAGGCAAGAGAGAAAACAAAGGATGGAAAGGATATCCTAGATTGGCAGATAGACTTCCCAGAAGTGAGATGCTGTTAGCGGATGACCTGGAGGGCTTCCTTTACTTCATTCATTGTGATTCAGAAACACAGCTACCCCTTCATTTGCAAAGCGACTCCCCAGTGAGCTTCCTTGGTCTCCTTGGCCATGTGTTACAGACTTGGCCATCATCCAATCTACGGTTTATTTCATAGCAACAATGTCATCGAGAACTTGTTTATTGTGGCTTTAAAACAATCCGAACAGAGAAAAAGTTTTAGGACAGCATGAGTGACGTGCATTCCATATTTATCGAAGCTTCTTCCATAAACATAATGGAGGCTCGGGAATGCTCCCACCTACCTTATGGACACACCGCACCCTCTTCCCCTGTTGGGTGTGGTGCTGCACCCTGCTTCTCCGGCATTAGTTCAAGTCTTCACCTGGTTTTCTTGGACATTATCCAAGAGCTACATACTTGCCTTCCCCGAGAGATCTCTAACTGGCACAGAACTCCCTACCTTTGGGCTTATTTGCAAATAATACACATCTAACTTGCCACAGGAACTGGCAAAAAGTTTAGGTCAGTGCCCTGGCTACAAGCAATGTCTTGGGGCTCACATTGGCTCTCTAAGGGCCTGTTCCCTTAGAGAACATCTCCACTGGGTACTAGGAGCTTTGTATCATTGATTCTGTTTGCTGCAGTTCTGGGTCAGAGGCACCATCCTCTGGTCACCCTTACCTATGAAGCCCATCCCTGAATTTCCCCTAACTGCTCTGGTTGCTCACCTTTTGCTTTTTGTGGGAAAGCATCCAGTGCTAGGAATCCAGCTGGCTGCAGTCAACCTAGATTAATGCATTTTAACCTGCATGAAAAAATTTTTGTGTAACCTTCTTTTGGGTGTTTCATTTGATTCATGGTGACTTACAGGAAGGAAACACTTCCTAGTCTAGCAAGTTAAAAGTGTTCAATTTTACTGTCCTGGTGTCTGTTTAAAATATAACAGCTTGGTTAGTCAGGTGAATGTACCTTCATCTTTAAGTTTAGGATTTGGTTCCTTTTCTTTCTTTTGGTACCAGGGATTGAACCCAGCAGTGCTGTACCACTGGGCTACATCTCCAGCTATACTTTTTATTTTGAGACAGGCTCTCGATAAGTTGCTTCGACCTTGCTAAATTGCAGAGACTGTCCTTGAACTTGTGATCCTCCTGTCTCAGCCTCCCAAGTAGCTGGGATTATAGGCATGTGTCACTATGCCCAGCTATGACTTGGCTTTTATTGCTTCTGAAATAGAGACAGAAGTAGTGGAAGTTCCCTTTTTTTCCAACTGTCAGAACTGGGGCCTCTACTCTAAGAATCACTTCTTTTCTAGTCACTGAAAGCTGCTGCTAGTTAGGTTTATTCCTTTTAATTCTCATTTCCTTTTCATAAGTTTTCTCCTCCAACACATAAACTCATTGCCTCCCTTCCTTACAAAGGCAGGGTCCATTTACACGCGCTGGCAGAAGCTTTCCAGGTAACAGCTAACTCACAGTGGCTCTTGTGTCTTTCCAGGTTGAGGAAGGCAGCAAGGAAGACCAGAGGTCAGTGAGTCCTTTTCGCCAAATGAAAGCCTTACTCCGCCCTCTGGTCAGTCCATTCCAAGTGGAGACCAGCAGTCTCTGGTCTGAAAAATGCCTTTACTTCAGGCCCAAATCAGACAAAAAGGAAGAACAACTTTTGCTGACAGGCCTCAGAGGACCAGGCTGAGGCATCCTTGACCTTTCTTCTTTCTCTCAGATGTCCAGTGAACTTTTGTCCAATTTGTCCTGTAGTCCTCTACCGATGGCTCCATTCTAAAACGTCTCTCAAGAGTCTGGAAGGTTGCCAATCTGGACACAAAATAGGAGAGTGCCTGAGGGAAGAGATCATTCCACAGTTCTTGGTTGTCAGAAAGTTGAATATCATCAAATGGCTCTGAAAGAAATGATGAAAGGGATCAACGTTGTAAGCAGTGGTAAGATTAGACTGTCCAAGCCACTAAGCTCTAGATGAGACAGGAGCCATAGCAGGGAAAATCCTGCACTGGAATTGGTCATATCGTGAGCAAGGTTTCTGGGGATTTATCAAGAGAGGCCAAGTTGAATGGGCACTAATGAGCTGATGACTCAGATGAGGAACATGTGAAAGCATAGAAACCAATATTGTCCATGGAGGTGGGAACGGGCATTGGGCAACGGGGTGATATTGGCTGACCCCTGTCCCATTGAATAAGTTTTCAAACATGGAACTGGAAATAGGCACTGCAAAAATTTTTTGCTCAGAAGATCTCAGTGCACTCTTAAAACTGCAGAAGCTTCCCATGCCTAGTATGTTGGAGATACTCAGCAAATGCTTTATGGTTTACGACGTAACGGAGCTCATCTCCTGTGGTGGGAGGCTGTGGCAGTAGTCTTTGAAAGAGTGGATGGTGGTACACAAATGTTCAGAGTGTCCCACAGTTGTGTAAAGTGCCCAGTCCATGAATGGGCTGTTCCTCTTCTGGGGCATGGATTCATTCATTCCAAATGGATTAATGTTGGGTGTTCCCTTGACCTAAGAAGAGATAAGACATAGCACAGGGTATTCATATCAATCATGCAGCCATTAACATAAGAAATCAGGGAAGTAGCCATTCTCTCATCCTCCCCATTTCCAAAAATATCTTTCCAACACATTCTCTATTGTTCTGCCCTGTGCCTTAGGTCTTATTTATTTTGCCTTATAAGGCTATTTCAGGGTTTCAAGCTCTCACCATAGGAAGTTTTTCCTGCTGTTCTGCTTGAGTTGCCTTTTGCTTAATTTTAGTTCATTGTGTCAGTAAAGACAGGGGAGGGCTTTATGGGGCAAAAGGCCCAATCATTGTGGGAAGAATGAATCATTCCAAGAATTGTGAGATGGGCTGGAAGGAGAAGGCAGCTGAGGAGCAGGAAGTTGGGGGTGGACGGGTTATTGAGAACAGCATCACAACATGTCTTCTCTCTTCATTATTCCCACTAGGGGGTGCCCAGCATTCCAAATCACTATTATTAGGAAGTTGAGGTTTGATGGGGGCATTTCTTAACAGAAGGTCATTGGCTGACCCAGGATACAATTCCTATATCTATGAGAAGAGATGTATGTGTGTATGTGTGTGTGTGTGTGTGTGTGTGTGTGTGTGTGTGTTTTCAAATGCAAAAGTGCCTCTCAAACTGGGCATGGCATCACATGCCTATAATTCCAGCAACTTGAGAGGCTGTGGCAGGAGGATTGTAAGTTTGAGGCCAGCCTTAGAAATTTGGGAAGGACCTAAGCAATTTAGCAAGACCATATCTCAAAATAAAAAATAAAAAGGGCTGGAGAGGTAGCTCAGTGGTAAAGCACCCCTGAGTTCAATCCCTGGTGCCAAAAATAAAATAAAATAAAAAACGACTCTTTTGAGAACTCTCAATCTGTACAAACCTCTGGCAATAACCAGAATTCTCTAGGACTCACGGATCTTGAAGTCAGTGGCTGGAGTAGCTGAGGACCAGAAAGTCCTCCTGGGCCCAGGAGAAGTGGTGGCATAATGTTTTATTACTGTAGTCAAGAAGTTGTGGGGCTAAGAAATGTGCATAATTGAGGGATTAGTAGAGGCAGGAATAGAGTGAAGAATAAGGATACAATGGTAAGTGGTATTCTGAAGCAGAAAGGGCAAGAAGTATGGAACGAAGACTAGGAGAATGGAGGATATTTTGAGCATCTCAAAACATACAGGACTTCAGAATGGTCACAGCAAAACCATCAAGCAAGAATTTTTTTTTTTTTTTTTTGGTACCATGGATTGAACCAAGGGGCACTTAAAAACTGAGTCATATCCCCATCCCATTTTCATATTTTATTTAGAGACAGGGTATCTCTGAGTTGCGTTGGGCCTGAATAAATTGCTCAGGTTGGCTTTGAACTCATGATTCTCCTGCTTTAGCCTCCTGAGCCACTGGCATTACAGGCATGCACCACCATGTCTGCCTCAGGCATGAATGTTTTTTTTTTTTTTTTCTCAGTACTTTTTATTTATTTATTTTTTTTCTCTTTCTTTTTTTTTTTTTATTGGTTGTTCACAACATTACAAAGTTCTTGACATATCATATTTCATACATTAGATTGAAGTGGGTTATGAACTCCCAATTTTACCCCAAATGCAGATTGCAGAATCACGTTGGTTATACATCAGGCATGAATGTTTTTGTGGAAAGAACATGGATCTTAGATCTTGACAGATGAATTCAAATCTCAGCTCAAGAATTCAATAGCCATGTGACCCTGGAAACTTGGGCAAGTTATTCAACCTCCTTGATTCTCAATTCTTTCATCTTCAAAACAGGACTAAAAATACTAAGATTTATTGAGAATTTTAAAAATAAGACATACAAAACACTAAGGAAATCGAGTCTCTCCCTTCCCATATTTGCTACTTGGAATGAATAGAGGCGAGAAACATGCTCTTCCTGCTGTGGTTCTTGGACCTCAAGGCCTTGGTGCTCCAGGCCTGCAGTGCTGGTGCAGGAGGGTCCTCCTTGGTGTTTGAGGTTTTCTGCACTGAACAACTTCAGCCAGCATTCAGGGGATGCCTGGGTGGTCCTGCTCCCTCTGATCCTTTGGACTAGCTAGCCTACTTTGTAGGCTTTGGGGCCAGAACTTAGAACCCAGGCCCCAGCTAGATTTTTGGAAGTCCTCAGTTAATCCTTTAATTTGGAGGGATCAAATAGTCTCACCCAAGGTCTCAGAGTGCCACATCCTGGCCTAGACTCCAAGTGCAATGCTCAGTGTTATCACCAGTTCACCCTTGCTAATGTGACAGTGACTTAGTTCCTTACAGTACAGTTTTCCAAAGTTTGGATCAGAGAGCACCTGGACCAGCAAAACCAGCTGGGCTTGGCAAAAATGCAGATTCTGGGCCCCCTGGAATCAGATTCTCTCAAGTTTAAAAGCAATTATTTACAAATTTACCAATCCAAGGGAAGAAAATGCCTAAATCTGCCAGAGTGCTACCTTATAGGGGAAAGCTGAGGTTCTTGGGCAGTTTCTCCTTTCTCCTCCTCCTCTTCCTCCTCCTCCTCCTTTCACTTGGAAAACACATTTTTATTTTTGAAGTTTTTTTTTTAAACTGACACATAAGACTATATTTATAGGGTACTATATGACATTTTGATACATATATCCATCAGGACAAGCAGATCTCTCTCTTCAAATATTTAATATTTCTTTGTGGTAAAAATATTGAAAATCCTTTCTAATAACTTTTTTGGAAATATACAGTACATTTTCTATAGTCATCCTACTGTGAGACAGCACATAAGAACTTCTCCTAACTGTAACTCAGCACCCATTGACCAATCTCTCCTCACTCACCCCACCCCAGCCTTTGGTAACCATATTTTTGCTCTCAACATCTATGAAATCACCTTTTAAAACTCCACATACAAGTGAGATCATGCAACATTTGTCTTCTTATGTTGGCTTATTTCACTTAACATAATGTCCTTCGGTTCCCTTGGTTCCATTGGAGCAGACTTCTCATTGCTTTGGAAATCCTACTTTACTGGTGTTCCTGACCCTGCTATTTATAGAGAGCCAACTCTGCCCCAGTTACTTACTTACTTCGCCTAGAATTTTCAAAGTGTTCACAGGAACAATTGCCGTGAAGGTCACAGGAGACCGTTTCTGTGAACACCTGGTGAGACGAAACCATTTGGAAAGGTCAGTTTGATTTCAGAAGCACAGTGCTAACCCAAGGCAGCAGCTCCTCACTGCCAGCCACCAGCAGAGGTGGCATCTGCAACCTTGAGCAAAGACCATTTATACTGACTGAGGAGAAGCAAGCCTGGGGCTCAGGTGGCACCAAGACAGAGGCTGATCTGTGGTTGCACCTTCCTTCATCCGGTGCTCCATGCTAGGTCAGCTGTGTTGAGACCGAAGCCTAGGGCAAAAACCAGCCCTTCCTCTAATGCTGCAAACTCACCTCTCAGTCTGGAGTGAGCCAGGCTCTGGACATGTTATACAAGTTTCCTCCTGACCATAGGGCCATATGAGCTGGCTGTTCAAAAGGGACTTACATTAGTGCATCCCTTTCTGGAGAGATAAAGCTTTTCAGGGAAATGGCAGGGCCATCAGGAACCCCCTTCTCAGTTTTAACTGCTTCCTGCAGACCTTGGGGCACTGTACAACTGTAGTGGGTGTTCAGGGCATGCTGGGAGCTGCAGAAGGATCTTGCAATAAGGATTCATGTCAGTTTCAAAGTGCTCAAAATGAGTGTTTTAAAAATGTTGCCAGAAAGGCACTTATTGCTACCTTAAATCCTTCTTGGAACGAAATGTGAAATAAAATCTAGTAAAAAATCAACAAAGCAGGTCATTGTGTAGCAAATATCACTGCCTAGCCAATATCACTGTACCTAGCTGGCCTGTTGGCTGACCCCAGGAGGTCAGGGCCAGGTGGTGTGGAGCTGCTTCAAGGAGGGTGACATCCTTGAAGTAGATGCTGGTGGGAAAGAGCTTCCCTACATTAAGCATCACTGTTGCCATTCCCAATCTGTTCTTTCTCTTTCTGTTTTCTAGGAACAAGAGGATTCATCTGACTCAACTGGAGATGGCTCCCTTCCCTAATTTATTTTTCCTTTCCTAAGGCTTCTCAGTAGAAGCAGCTAGAAGCACAGGGGAATGGATACAGACTCACAGAGGCAGCGTTGCCTGGCCACTGAGCCCAAAGCAAAGACAGGCCCCAACTTCTCTCTGGTCCTTCAACCAGGCTTTGCAGAACCTGGAAAGGAAATCAATTCCAAAGGCAGGAAATGACCCACAGACCATAACAATATGTGAAAAAAACGAAGCCGGTGCTTCCGCTGCTTTGTTTCAAACTATTCTAATCTGTGTCCCAGGAAGCCTAACCCAGTGCCAGATGGAGATCTCTTTTCAGACGCCTCTTGGCATCTGCCACCCCCCGGCTGGTGACATTTGCACATTTCAGAAGGCAAACCTGTCCCCACATCTTCAAACTTTCAGAGAGGTATAGCCCCAGGAAAGTCCTTGGGTCCCTGGCTGACAGCACCGACCATCTGATTTGCTTCTTCTGCAGCTGAACTGCTGCTGGACCGCAGCCTAGAACGCTAGCACACCAAATCTGTTCTTGAAAATCTGCAGAATCTGAAATCAAAGTGCCTGGTGCTGCCAGAAAAGCTGGCTTCCTTGCCTGCTTCATAATCCTTTCTCATCAGGCGTTCCTAAAGAAACCTGATGAGTCAGGAAGGAAGAAAAACGTGTCTGAGGGAGATCTGGGGGTGGGCTGGTCTCTCTCCTGGCTTCTGAAAATCCCCTCTTGTTTTGCCATGCTGGTAACACCTAGGGATTTGGTTTTACTTTTTCTGTTTCTTCCTCTGTCAGCTCTCCCTCTTGAGAGACCCTTCATTTACCACTCATGTAAGTAGCTCTTGCAAAAGCAGGAGGCCCTCTGATGGGGAGGTAGTCATGGTTGCAGAGAAGTTTAGAATTTACTTTTATCCACAGGAGCAGGGCAAAAAATCCAAACCAAAACAAACAAATCCCCGAACCAAGAAAACAAAACTCTGACTCCTACTTCCAGAAGAAACTTGTCACTCACTGCTTTGTTCTGGCCCTGGGGCCGGTGTGTTTCCCAGGGTTTTAATTTTTACTGAATACCAGCCATCATCAGCCTTCCCACTGAAGTCTGTGTGCCAGTTGGCTTCTAAACACAGTGAGGTGGCTTCTGGGATATCAGCTCCAAATAGGTATCCAGCTAATCCCCCCAGGTCATTGGAAAGTAGCTGTAGTTGCAAAACTAATGTGCCTGACTATCAAGACTTTCAAAATGTGAAACAGGTTAAAGTAGAAAGAATCCAGTAAATCTGTCGATGTCTGACTTATAGGAAAGTCTCAGCAAGCAAGACAGGAGAGGTTCAATATCAGCCTGGTGACAATGAGGCGGGTGGGATGGGGTGGGGTGGGGGTGACAGTCTTCAAGAGTGAAGCCACTCTGCTACTATCTAAAACTGTGTTCTGTTTATTATTTTTGAAAGAGGTTTTTAAAAGCATGTTCTGATAAGCTTGGATTTATCCTTGGAAAGGGAATATGGGTTCTGTTATTTAAGACAGTAGCTTAGTGTCAAATGCAGGTTGTATCAACTATATGTAGCTGTTATTAAACAGCAGATAAAAGAAGCTAGGAGATGTTCCTAAAAGGGTGGGTGGGGGAAAAGAAAAACAAACATGTTTTCTCTGCCTATAGAAAATGAACCAGTGGGGCAGAGGTGCATGCCTGTAATCCCAGAGACTTGTGAGGCCAAAGCAGGAGGATCACAAGTTTGAGGCCTGGGCAACTTAGTGAGACCCAGTTTCAAAATAAAGCAAGCAAGCAAGTAAAGAAACAAAAAAAGGCAGAGATGTAGTTCAGTGATAGAGCACTTGTCTAGCATGTACAAAACTCTAGATTTGATCCCAGTGACACACATATACACACACATACACAAAATGAAAACAGCTAGCAAACAACTAGAAACAGAAGATAGAAGTTATCCTTCCCCAAACAGATATCAGCCAAACAGAGTAAATCATTTGATGATGATGATAACAGCAATGAAACAATAAGGCAGCAAGTGTTAGGTCCTTAGGCCAAAGTAACTCCATTTTGAAAATCAGCACCTGCCCACCCAGTCATGACCTTCCCATTAGGAAACAAACAAACAAACAAAAACGAAAAACCAACAACAAGAGTGTTGATCTCAAGCTATGCTTCAGCCTCAAAGAACACGTTTATGATCCAAGAGATTTTAACTACAATAATAAGACTTTAGAGTGAGTGGAATAAATAAAACCAGAACAAAAAAATCAAGAGTAGATTAAGATGTAATTGAGAATGTTTAATAATTAGTGAGAAAGATACAAAAATTGTACCTATTCTTTCACTACCTTCACTCCTTTTTTTTTTTTATAAATTTTTTAGTTCTTGGCGGACGTAACATTTTTATTTTATTTTTATGTGGTGCTGAGTATTGAATCCAGAGACCCGTGCATGCCAGGTGAGCGCGCTTGAGCCACATCCCCTGCCCACTACCTTCACTCTTGATCTAATCATCCATAAAACAAAACAAAACAAACTCTCTCTCTCTCTCTCTCTCTCTCTCTCACACACACACACACACACACACACACACACATACACACACACACACAGAGTTAAGGGTCGCATTCTTATTTAAATATACAACAGAGCCAAAGAATCTGTAGTGTTCTGTTTGGTTCATACTTGGGATGCTTGGCCAGAAGGGCCATCTATTCCTTGAGTGTATTGTAGGGTGAAGAATGCAAGGGACTTCCCAGACGTTACCAGAGGGAAGCCAGAGCTACAAGAGGGCAGTACAAGTTATGTTCTGCTTTGTCTTAGATTTAATAGAGGTGTTGCTAGACGTTTACAATAGATGCTTCCATTTTGCAGATGAGAAAACAGAATCAAAACCAGAGAAAGAACAGAGTCATGATTCCCAGACTGTACTAAGGTTCCTGAGAAATCACAGCAAATTTCACAGGAATCTCAGGGAGACCCAGGAGTCCAAGGAAAGAAGAATTCTTGATACCTGCTGAAAATCAAATGAATTCCTAGCTCAGGGTGGCTCACAATTTCAACCTGAGTATTCCCCAGTTGTTATAGAATGCAAGTACCAAGCAGAATTCAGTGTGGAACCAGACCGCCCAGGTTCCAAGACTTGAGAAAATATTCAGTAACTAAGTGGCACACACATCCTTTCCTAAGTAACTGGAATTATTTAAGAATAAAATAAAAAACACTTTTTTCTTTCAATTTATGTGGACTATTATTTTTTCAAATAGCTCAGTTGTGGGATTTAACTACCGGATAAATGAAATTTCTGTTAGGTGTTTCTTTTGGCCCACGTCTCTGTGGGAAAATTATAGGGACAATAAAATGCTGTGAATTAGGAAGTTTGGGAACTCTGGAGCAGAGTAATTTGAATTGTATCCAATGGGGCAAAGAAGGATTTAATGGTTCAGGCTCAGAATAAAAAAACAGTAAGATCCTCCCCTCCCCATGCCAGCCAGGTCACTGATCCCAGTATTTTCCTCAGTTCCCACATAAAATAAGCATTCTTAGTATGATTCCTTTTTTTTTTTATTAATGCAACTTTTGGATAGGCTATTTTTCCATACTATTATTACATTATAGTTGTACATAATGGTGGGATTTGTTGTTACATATTTGTATCTATATACAATATAACAATATAATCTGTTTAATATCATTCCTCAGTGTTTGTCTTCTCCTCCCTTTTCTGGTCCCTTTCTTCTATTCTACTGATGTCCCTTTGATTTTCATAAGATCTCCATGCCCGCCCCTCCCATTCTTTCCCTTTTCCTATCTTCCATATATGAAGGAAAACAATCTTGGTAGGCTATTAAAAGTTATCTTATATAATGCTTCTCAAATTATCTCCAGTGAAAGCCTTTTTTGTTTGTTTGTTTCTAATCTATCATGGACTAGGTGATGGTTAATTTTATGTGTCAACTTGTCTGGGCCTTGATAACCAGATATTAGTTCAAATATTATTCTGGATGTTTTTGAGAATGTATTTTGGGGATGAAATTAACATTTAAATCAGTAGACTTTGAGTAAAGCAGACCACTTTCTCTCATATGGGTGGGTCTCATCTAATCAATTGAATATTTTAATACAACAAAGACATCGCCCCTGAGCAAGAAGAAATTCTGCAAGCAGATTGTATTTGGACTCTGCATCTCTTTATTGAATCTACAGCCTACTGGCCTACCCCTTCAGATTCTGGACTCACTAAGCCTCCTCAATTGTATGAGCCAATTCCTTAAAATAAATTTCTGTTTCTTTCTCTTTATACACATATATCCTGTTCTCTGGAGAACCCTAATATAGACTGATGCTTTTTAAAAAAGCAGTAAAAATGAATTTCTACAAAAAGGATCATATACTTAAAACTGTAGAAACATCAAATTATTATGAGTTCCTAAATGCTTGTTTTCAGTTTTCATATTTTGCCAGATTTTTTTGTGATAAAAAAGACGTTGTGGGACACAGAATGATTTTTATTACCATTGAACTAATAAAAAATGTAAATCCATATCTATTTATGTCTATAGAACATATTTATTTACTTTTTACTTAGAAGTAATTAAATTTTCTTTAAAGTTGCAAAACAAGTAGTGATGTATTGCCATATATCCATATGCTATATTTCATGTATGCTTTATCCAAGTCCCCCAATTTTAATATAGTACAATTTTCAAAACTAAGAAAATGAACATTTGTATGGTATTAATAATATGCTAATATTAATATGTGGAATATTATTAATAATGTTGTTAACTAAACTACAAACTATATCCAAATCATTAAAAGGTCCTACCTTAACTTACACCTGGTCAGGAATTTGTCCACCTCGGTACCAGGTGCCCCATTAAAGCCAAGGTGCTTTCACCTAACTCATTAAAGCAATATTCCTAAACCCCACTCCTGCTGATTCCTTTTATTTTTGTTCCAATAAGCCAGCCTGAGACTTTCTTGTTGGAGTTGTGACTCCCTTTCCAAGTGGAGGCCTTGGTAGAAGCTTTGCCTGTATATTCATACTCACGTGACTCTATGTCATCGCTACTGATATCAATGTCTGATATCAAGTTCCCCGTGTCTGGCATCATCAGTTCCACCATATGTATGTATTTAAAAAGTGAGGACATAGCTTGAGGATGTGCAAATTTAGTAGACACTTGTTTAGATAATATTTGCAGGATGGGTTGAACCATTGCTCTATTTTATTTATTGTTTAGCCTGCTGAGAACCAGGAAAGTCTGACAGTAGTTGTGGATTGTTCTACGGAAGAAAATACAAATTACAGAACTAAAATATCTCACGCACAGCCACCCAGCCAATACCATTGCTCCTGAGCTTGTCTGTGAGTGCTAAGATTAACAGATTCTTTTGTATTCGGAAAGATGAGTGACTTACTGACAGAATATATAGAAAAGTGATGCTTGGGTGTGAATCTGAAATGTCACACATTTTTGGCCAAGTCAGCCTTTCTCCTCTCTTTTGTTATGACTTGGATATGAAGTGTCCTTCAAAGGCTCAGCGTGTTGTAGACTTGGACCCTAGTGAAACAATGCTCTGAGATGGAGCTTTGGGGAAGTGATTGGAACATGAGGGCTCTAACCTCATCAGTGTATTATTCCATTCATGGCTGAATAGACTCCTGGGTGAGTGGAAACTGTAGGAGGTGAGACCTGGTTGAAGGAAGTAGGTCATTGGGGACATGCCCTGGAAAGATATTTCTAGTCTGCAGCCTCTTTTGCATGGGCTCTCTCTTTTTCTGCTGCCATGAGCTGAGCAGCTTCCCTCCACCATGTCCTTCCTCCATGATGTTTTGCCTGCCTTCAGGCCTAAAGCAACGGAACTAGTTGACCATAGACTGAAACCTCTAAATCATGAGCCAAAATAAATCTTTCCTCCTTTAAATTGTTTTTTTTTTCCTCAGGTATTTGTCACAGTGACCAAAAGCTGACTCGCACACCTTGTATGAAGGATGAGCTTCCACAGGTAGAAGGCACCTCTGGCTTTTTGAGTCCCTATTGTAAAGACTGTGCAATCCCTATTGTAAAGACTATACACCTCACTGCCAACTCATGGTGCACAGCTCCTCATGCTAGTATCTCAGTGCCTGGAGCAACGCCTTGGGCATGAACAGGTGCTCACTGCAGGAATGAATGAATGAATGGAGCACAAAGTAAGTTCATAACAACATTTTTTTTTCTTTTCTATCTTGTTGGGAAAAGAGGCCTTCCAGGGAATAAGACAATGCTGCAATGTATTAAACAGGAAAGACTGTCAAGATCTTTATGTCTGAGAAACAGGCTTTGAATGCTAGGTGTGACTCAAAAGCTGAAT